TATTTTTTTTTCTTTTATATGCCCATCGCCGAGAAAACCTTGATTCGCATTTCGTTTTGAAAGAGAGAAAGATTTCATTGATTTGCTGCAAGTTAAACACATTCGGACACCTCAGTTCTTTATATTACTTTGTGCCAGTTTGACGTTACGACCTTTCGTTAGATTATTATGTCCCAGTGTATTTTGACTTGACTTTCGTTCAATTATCATGTCAAATTGCATTTTATGTGAAAGCATTTCGTTCGATTATCATGTCAAATTGCATTTTATGTGAAAGCATTTCGTTCGATTATCATGTCAAATTGCATTTTATGTGAAAGCATTTCGTTCGATTATCATGTCAAATTGCATTTTACGTGAAAGCATTTCGTTAGATTATCATGTCCCAGTGCACTGTATGTGACAGATTTCCATTAAATTATTGATCATTCTTCTATTATTTCATTGATTTTTCAGATTATCAAAACACGAAGCATCGAAACATCATGATTGGAGGCCATGCTTCAGTCATCCGACATGGAACAGTGTGGATCATTCATCACTCTATTAGGCACCTCATGAAGGTCATGGTCATCCAAGTAAAACAAGAGACATATTCCCACACCTTCAACACATAGTCGCTAAAGCTTAAAATTCCTGCTTTAAAGTAGCCACGCTCACCATCAAGTCACTGTTCGCATTGGTCAGATACAAAATCATTACATTTTAAAGCCAAAAAAAAAAGCAACCAAAGAAAAACACAATTTTCCCTAAACATAATTTTTTTAAATGGAATCAAATTCAATTGAGAACTTTTGAGACGCCCTTACCTCTCTGTCTGTTGCGTTGGATTCTTAATTTGGACATTATTCAGTTGTAAAGAAATTTGTTTTTAAAAAAATAATTAATTAAGACAAATGCGTTTAAAGAAGTATGGATGAAAATGGGCTAAAATTCTTGTAATGAGAGTTAGTGGATGTTCCGGTGTCATAGAACGTCACCACAACGGTGTATCATTTCCCAATATCATAGAAAGGAATGATATGAGTGAGCGGCTTTTTTTCCATCTTAACAGAAAGGCTATAGTGTGTTGATACGTCAGAATCACATATTTGAATGGAATTAGAAATATAATGGTCAATTTAAGAACAGAGCAGAACACTCTCAACATTATCAACAAAGGTGAAAATGAGCCGGGTACCGAGTAAAGAAATATTTATAAACAAGACATGTATTTTTTTTTAAAAATACATAATATTGCTAATGTTTAAATATCTTTCTGTACATAACATTATTAGTTGAAATATATGACACAAGAGTGAAATTCATGGTGCAAATGTAAACAAAGAAATTATAAAAAAGTTATGTCCAGCAAATTGTACAGGTATCCAGCGCAAATGAATCTACTGAACATATAGGATAAGACAATGACACATGGATCAGTGGTGAGAGTAAAGCAAGTTTACAACCAGAGCCATTGAATCTAGTGGACATGTAAGAAAAGACAATGATCAATGTACTGGACAATTAAGAAAAGACAATGATGTATGTACTGGGCAAATAGGAAAAGACAATGATGTATGTACTGGACAAATGGAAAAAGACAATGATGAATGTACTTGACAAATAGGAAAAGACAATGATGTATTTACTGGACAAATGGGAAAAGACAATGATGTATGTACTGGACAAATGGAAAAAGACAGCGACAAGTGGATCAGTGGTGCGAGTGAAGCAAGTGGTTGGCGTCCATATTTTGCCGGGATGATTGGGGAGGGGGAGCAGGGGCTGCCTCCTAGCACATAATTATATCTTTAATGTTGGTGTTTCAAATTTAACTCACTCACCTGCATATCATTGTATTTTTTTTATATACGAATACATAAGCGAGTGGTTGACTCACTGGTCGCCCAAGGCTGAGATCGATCGACGATGTGGAGAGGGATTTACGCCAGTTGGGGGTTCGTGCATGGAGTAAGGTCATGGATCGTTCCGATTGGAAGGATGTGGTGGAGCAGGCCAGGGCCCTACATGGGCTGTAGCGCCACTGATGATGATGACGCTTGATTGTTTTGATATCAAATCAATTGTTTTCACTCTTTCTTAAGTTTTTTTAAAATTTTTTAGATAGTTCATTCTCTAATCAAACAAAAGAATTCGTCTTCTCATTTAAGCTCAGAGTACCATGTTTTGTTCTATTTGATTGCTAGCATCATCTCACCTACTTGTTGTCATGATGCATGGAGTCAAGGCTTGTTCCAAATAAACAAAAATATATCAATAGTGAGTAAGACATTTGTTTTGTAAAGCTGTTATTATTTCTTGTTAATAAGTAAGTTATTTTTGCCGTGTGCGTCATCAGACAGATTTAATAGATAGATTGCTTTATGTAACATGGAAGTAGTGGAAGATGATATGTTTAAGCTTGAAATGAAAAGCTAGGGCAATGGAATTTTCATTACCGCTAGATGCCTGTTTCGGCAGACAGGACAGTTAAAAGAAAGTTTGGCCAAGACGCCTGCTTCGGCAGACAGGACAGTTAAAAGAAAGTTTTGCCAAGACGCCTGCTTCGGCAGACAGGACAGTTAAAAGAAAGTTTGGCCAAGACGCCTGCTTTGGCAGACAGGACAGTTAAAAGAAAGTTTGGCCAAGACGCCTGCTTCGGCAGACAATATAAAATAAAGAAAAAAAACGATCATTAAAAACCAAAGATTAAAAAAACATAAGTGTTATAAACTCTCAAGGAAGTCGCTGTAGAACTGTGCTAAGAACCGGAGTCGCTCTGTGCTAGAGACGGAGTCGCTCTGTGCTAGAGACGGAGTCGCTCTGTGCTAGAGACGGAGTCGCTCTGCGCTAGAGACGGAAGGAAAGTTGTTCAAAACCAAGAAGTTATTGATAACAAGTATGGGGCATATGGTCTTAAAATGAAATTATGATATCACACACCACAAAAACAACGCTTCACAATCTTTCGCCCCCCCCCCAACCATAGACTAAATGCTATTTTTTTTCTCTAAAGTCATAAAAGTCTAGACTTTTCGGAGATGAAATTACAAGTAAACCCTTAAGTTTAATACGGAGACGTATAAAATTATGAAGAGATTTGGGATGTAGAAATGAAATTATGATATCACACACCACAAAAACAACGCTTCACAATCTTTCGCCCCCCCCCCAACCATAGACTCCACACACGACGCTCCCCAATCCTTCCTCCTCCCTAATCCCCACACTCCTCATCCCATGATATACTCCCATTCCACACCCTACCCCTCACCCTACTCGCCAAGCGTCACATTCCTCAACCCGTCACACACAGCATGTTTCAAACTACTAACCCGACATCACACCCCACTTTCCCCCCATCCTATACCCCATTCCCTTTAATTGGCACCCCACCCTAGACCCCCCCACATCCCAACCCCTCCCTGGACCCCCACCATATACCCCCATTAACCGCACCCCAGTTTCATTGTCATGGTGTGAAGTTATATACATCAAGTTAAAGGTATATTGGGGAAAAAAGGGGACAACATGATCTGCTTTGGGGCGATCTGCGTCATTTCCTGTTCAGTAAGTGCTACGCTTAAGGCAGCCAACCCCGACGAATCCCTACCCAGTGGCGTAGCGAGACATTGTGCCATCCAGGGAGCACTTTGAATTTGCATCCCTCCTCCTCTCCCAAGAAACAGAACATATAAATATTTTAAGTGCTTTCTGGCACTGTATAAGCTGGAAATAACGCGCCTTGAAATAGTTATTGCCCCTAGCATACGATCTAACTTGGCCCGCAGGGGGATAACTTTTTTCACGGGCACTTTTTTAAATACCACCAAATGTAATTACCACCACATGTAAATACCACTGCTTTCGCTTCGGTCCCAAGGGCTTGAGATATTTTCACGTTTCGCTGAATATGGAAAAGGGCCGGTACGTCACATTGATGGGTGGGCGGCGGAAGGAGGGGTGGGGTAGACGGAAATCAAGGGGTTCCCGAGCCAAGGGGGAAGGGTCTGGGGAGGGGGGGCTGATTAACCCTTTTACCCGAAATTTTGTCTCTAATTCAATTAAAAAAAAGGAGTAATTTCTGCATATTTATATTTAGTTTTGCGTCCTTCTAAGCTTAATCGCAACGCAACAGAAGAAACACTTTTACATTTAGGTGACCTGGTGGGGTTTGTACAAATCCTTTATTTTTGTTAGTTGTTACTAAATAGCAGTTCTGTTTGATAAAATTAAAAATTTATTTAAAATGTTACAAAATTATTAAACTCTTTAATTTGTTTAAAACTTCTTCATTAGTAAATGAAATTTCGTTAAAGGTGCTGATGCTACCTACCGGCACTTACAGTCACAAAAAAAGCATTTAATGGCATTTAATGTATACAGCTGTTCGGACGCATCGAGTGAGTTCTGGAGCTGTAGGCACCCAAACTTTGTATTACGATTAGGGCCGCAGGACTGAAGAAGCGGTGTCTGGCTTTATAAAAACCAACTAATTAATGGCAAACAATGGCACTGATGAGAATGTTGCTAGTTTTGACATTGTTCCAGTATCTCATAATATTTAGTAGTATATGATGGTAAAATAAAAGTAAGCATATTTTAATACCTACGGTCTCTTTCTTGTCGTTGCACTTGGCCGAAAATTCCAGCCACACTTATATATAGAATGAAGGGGTGGACCGTTCCCAACCCCCCCCCTTTTTGTACGCCACTTTCCCTTCACATTGCCTTTACAAAATCATCAACCATAATAAGGTTTTCTGTGAAAAGAAGGTATAGAATTACATTTGATTTTAAATTACAACATATAAAAAAGTGTAGATAATGACATGATTACCCATTACTCTCAACTTCTAACTGGATTAGATAATAGCTATAATTATGCTACCTTGCTTTCACCATTCACATACTATTTACAGATGCTGACAACTGCTGAACAATAAAAATGACAGATAGCATCGCTGGGAGGATGAGAGACTTTCATTTTCACTTTTTGTCACAGATATCCCAGAAAACTGTCCATGACATACTCCCCATATTGAAATGAAAATAAATTCATGGTATATAAAATGAAGCAAATAGCCTCAACCAAGTTTTTAAAAAGTTTTGTAAACTTTCGGAGTTGTGTTTATTGTGATTTTTTTTTTTGTTTCCATTTCCAGTTTATCGAACTTTGAAAAGGTAAGCCATTTGTTGGTTAAGAAAACTTTTATTTTCACAGACTGGTCTCAAATTGAAGGTGTCTGCGTCATTAAATAAAATATAAACATGTTACTGGTGCAGTATGTTATGCGTATATTAACTTTTAACAAAAATGAAGGAGAATACTAATATGCTAACTGGAGAACAGTGCATTCTCCATAATAAACTCCCATGCATTTTTGATTTCGCAACTTCCATCGAATATCAAATCTTCGTCTCCGTGAAATTGGAGCATATCCTAAACATCAACATGATCAACAACAACAACAATAAAAACATCATGAACAACATCAACAAAAAAAGTAATGTAATTTGTATTGTGAAAATTACCGTTGAGTAGTTCCATTTTAGATTCCCCTCAGTAATTTATCCCTTTCTGAGCGGTTACCAGAAATTTGATCGAAAGAAATTTAGTCGACGGTAAATTGATCGACGGAAATTTGGTCGAATTTTTTTTTTCAGTTCACACGTTAAAATTTTCGTCGTCATAGTAAAACAAAATCATGCGTTAAAAAAGAAATTTGAAGTAAAATTTTAACATGCGAACTGAAAAAATGGTTCGACCAAATTTCCGTTTGATCAAATTTCCGTCGATCAATTTCCCGTCGACGAAATTTCTTTCGATCGAATTTTCGGATACGCTTCTGAGCTGAAGTCAATGTCTTGCGTCAGCGGCGTCGCCTCTAAAGAGAGACATTGGCCCAAGATTCCATAATAGAAGCGTTTTTCAGGCAGATGAAAACATGTGATTTTAACATTGGACGCCATTAATATGTTCTGGCGAAAGTCGATGTCAGTATATTCCCCTATCCTTGTATGGTACTGTTCTTATTTATATAGGAATACAAATAAAATGTGGTCCCATTTTCCATGAATACATAATAACCAATACATTAAACAGAAACTCGTCCCTCTCCCCCATAGACAGCGACGAGGCCATGACAGGTGATTCCGGCTCATACCAGCGAGAAGCCAGTATAGGAGCTGCTCATTCCTGCCCAAGACAGTCAGGGGCTAGGACAAGCTTTCAAAAGGAACAGTTGAGGCGACAGCACTTGACACATTTGCGTCTATTGCCCCAGGCCTTACAACCCCCATTGCATGATACCCTCACAAAATAACCCTTGCAAATAAAGAATTAATATCCTCAGCACATACAGGCACAGAAAAATCCCCTCTACATGCATAGGAGCCAAAATGACCAATAAATTGATCGTGGGCCCTTAATATATAGAAGAAGAAGAATACATAAAACCAATGCAATATACATGTATATAATGGTAACTTGTTTTAAATTGCAGATTTTCAAAAGTATTCAGCTCTGAAAACTATTTCGACAAAAAGACACACAAAAATAGTTTCGAAGTTCTTCGGATATTTTCTCATCGTTACTTGAACCACAATAAGTGATGCAGAGAAGCCATAACAATACAAATACAGCATCAGTAATGGCTGAACACAACGAGTCATTTTCAGGAAGCGTTGACTCTCTCCTTGACTGTATACACAAGTACGAGAACAGTGTCACGATCATATCACAGAATGACCTGAACAGATGCTTACTGAAAGCTTGCAGTCTCGGTGATCTGAGCGATGTCCAGGTATTTATTCAATCAGGTGCCGACTTGGAGACCAGACACGACTCGGGAAACACGCCCCTGTTGACCTGCGCCAAGAACGGATTCACTGATATTGCAAGTTTCTTACTTGAAAAAGGAGCCGATGTAAATGCTTCAAATCATTTCGAGGAGACTCCCCTGATTCTGTCTGTTCGTTTATCCGGATCTTTAGACCTGGCCAAGCTCCTCCTGAAACAAAAGAAAATAGAAGTTGACCGCACGGACGGAGCTGGATATACCGCTTTGATGGTGGCCATTGAAAGGAAAGACATTGAGGCCATGCAGATTTTGTTTCACGGTAAGGCAAGTTTTGGGATCGCTGCTGAGATGTTAGCAAAAAGTGTTGGTTTCGACAAGCTTTTTCGGCATCTGAAGAAGTCTAAAAATAAAAAACGCACCCCGTTGCACAAAGCTGTCTTAGAATCAGATCTTCATTCTGTGAATTTACTACTGGCCAACCATTTCTCATGTCCGGCTGACCCACACAGCAGAGATTACAAGATCATCACGCAGTTCCTCGACTCGAAAATCCGCACCAGATGTGAGATCAAGGATCAAGATGTTGCAGTCGTCAAAACACTTCTCGTGTACGGAGCAAGTGTGAAAGAGGGTGACGGTAAGTGTGACCACTTCACGCCCCTGCACAAGGCGGTCAAACTGGGCAGTGGTCAGCTGGTCAAGATGATCTGTGACTATGGGATTGATCAGGGAGCGGAGCAAGATTTCACAAGGGCGGTAGCCGTAGCGAAAGCCACCGAGAGATACGACCTGGCTAAACTCCTAATGAGATACGTCAACCGTGAGAAGAAGGTTATACAGAGAGTGAAGCACAACTACAACTACGCTGTAACAGCAGCACTAGAGAAGGGCCACATCGAATGTGCAACAACGTTGCTGAAACAGAGCGCAAGTAAGAACATTGCCTTCTTCGTCCTCCAGGCAGTAGAGCGACAAATTCTGAACTCTCTGAAGATTCTAGTTGAGCTTGAACCAGAGCACGTAAAACAGTGCGCACTCAGCAAGGAGATAAAAGGCAGGGATCTTCTGGGTTTAGCGCGAGAGCTAGGAAATCGGGAAATTGAGAATCTATTGATAGATTTAGGAGCATCTGCAGGATTTTAACTCTCTCATTGGAGTACCATTATTTAAATAAGTTGAATAGTAATATGTTAAATATATAATCACGATATTGGGAACTTTTATGTCATCTTCTATTAGCATCCCTGAACAAATGTTTTGGACTTTGGCACAGCTATAGGTTTTCAAAAGGGGCTGTAATAAAAAAATATGCAGCCCCTCGTCCAATCTCTGGGTTAAGTAGTGGGATCACAGTGAGGTTTATCCCTGGGGATCCCAGCATCCCTCACGAGCTGATACTTGGCACACAGACTCGTTGACGATGATAACAAATTCTATCAAATTTGAGTGATATTTTGTTTTGTCTTTTTCTGAAATAGTTGGTGAAACACATCTGCGCTGTAAGAGCGGATGGAACATTAGTTTATTAATAGTGTTCAGGGGCGTGAAAGAATGGGGGAGCACTAAATAGGATTCTTATAAAGTGCGTTACTTGTATGCATGTTTTTGTCGAATGTTCAGCCCCACCCCCCACCCCTATCGTTGCTCGATGTGACATTTTATAAATGATTGATACGGGAAAAAAATTGTTTTGATGGGTTATTTAATTACTTTTATATTTTCTAGAATGTGGCCAAGCAACGAACCGGAAGAACGATCAAAACATATATTGTTAATACAATATTCACTATCACAGTTTTTAAAGGGGCACTTATAGCATGTTCTAAATATTATAACTGTATAACATGTTCTAATAATGATAAATGTATAACATGTTCTAATATGATGTGTATAATCGGAATTAAAATATACTATTTATTTAAGTTTTGTAGAATTAATGAATTTATAATCTACTACACATTTTCATTTTCATATTATAGCCTAACTTAAACCAATAAATAAAAAATAAAAAATTCAATCCTTCTACATGTCATTTGTTAACACAATGCTAGCATTTTAGAAGACAAAATGGATTCGTAATCTTGTAAACAAATGACGAGATCAAAACAACCATCCAAAGACAAACTGGCCACAGACAAAATGAGTGTCCCTGACCTTGGAGAAAAATGAGACCTTCATTCCAAGAAAAAGCCCAAACTCTTTTCATAAATACAACTCACACCCAAGAATTCAACTGTTAATCTTGCCACACAAGTATTCGACGAAAGTCTGGCTACAGACTAATTCTAAGGCACAAAAAAAACAAAACAAAAACAACTCAAGGCTTTTCAAAACTGACAAAAAATTTGTACGATGAATGTGTAAAAATATTTTCAATTTATTTGGATCAATAAAATTATATCATGGTAAAGTTAATGATCTAAAAAATTTCACAATGATAATATTTTGAGAAAAAATATCTTATCATCTTTGATTAAACTGACTTTATTGTTTATTTTAGATATTTTTAAAAGTTTAAACATTAAGTTATTTAACACTGAAATATGATCTTCAGTTAGATAAGAGACATGAGCAAATTATTGACCAGACTCGTAATAAAATATTTCAAATATGTATGAGTTGTTCCACTGCTTTCACATTGTTTCTGCAAGAATTAAATGTCCGTAATATCAATTACGTGTATATTAAACTTTTTTAAAACCTCTATAATAGTGTCACCAGACATCGGTATTTAGTACGGACAGTGTGTATTTTCGACCAGATTGTCTGAATTAATTTTTGCGCCCGTCTTTGTCCGTACTTTCCACAAGTCATCCGCCTTGTCCGTACTTTTGGCAGCTACGCCTTTCTTGCCTTATTTTCATTAGTCTTATCTTATTTGTCCGCAACAGTTTTAGCCCAACTGTGCAGAACATTTCTCGTTAACCCTGGCGTTACTGCTGCACCTGCGTGGGGCGATCTGCCCAGCCTGTGTAGTCGTGGCCTGTGCGGGACGGGTGACTTCTGGCTTTCGTGTCACTTGGACATTGTCCATGAAACTTTGACAAGACATTGGATCCCTAGTGCGTACTGCTCAAACAGTTTACTGAAAACCCACTTTTTATCCTCCGCTGTGCTAAGCTGGAAGAACGAAAATCGCAAAATATTACTGTAGATAAAAAAAAAAATCGTGCAAATATTCAACATGTCAAAGCAAACGGTGTACCATTTGTAAAATTTACAACTACTCCTTGAGGTTTCATGCAGCGTTCCCGGCAAAAATGCACCCGTGGAGAGAGCTTTCTCTCTGGTAAACAAGTTTTAGACCCTTGAGAAATCTCAGCTGAAAGTAATCACTCTGAGAGATGTTTTGATTGTTCAGTGTAACATTGATCTAACACGTCCTCAATTTCACGATAAGCTTCTTGCGGATGGAAATTTGTTAAAAGCTATTCATTGGTCTGCAAACTATTCACAATAGATTTGTAACAAGGGTTCCCGTATTGACGCTTGAGAAATCTCAGCTGAAAGTAATCACTCTGTGACATATTTTGATTGTTCCGTGTAGCATTCTTGATCTAACACGTCCTCAATTTAATAAGCTTCTTGAAGATGGGAATTTGTTAAAAGCTATTCATGGGTCTGCAAACTATTCACAATAGTTTGAAACAAAATGATGTACAGAAGGATATGAAGGATATTACAAATCATGGAGAGCACCATCTTTTTCTCCACCCCCATTTTCCCCGCTGCTATGCCCCCCCCCCCCCCCC